CTGGGGCTGCGAGCTCCTCCGCCTTGGCAGGAGTGCTGCGATGTGGCGGTGGCGAGAATGAATGAAAACTGAACGGTGAACAAAAGTAACGATTTGCCAAAGCCTTCTAGTGTGCCTCCATGTGGACGTTAGTGGTTTGCAGTCGCTTTAATTATACGTTTGTAGCTTTGCTGTGTTGCGCTGAACGTTTGCAGGCGATGCTGAGGGGGGTTTAAGGTGAGGAGCAGGTGAAGTGAAAAAAGTAGTAAGTGTATGTGACCGTAGTCTTGTTTCCACTGGATAGAAATCCTTGGAAATAGAGATGCTGAAAGGGAAAATTCAGAGAAATCAAAGTAAAGAGGTTCATAAGTGTTTGAACTGCAAGGGAAAGGAGAAAGGTCTTTGATTGAAATGAACATCTTGCATATGATGCTTTTTTGGTGTGGTTGGCATGAAAGGAAATTAGTCTGCTTGATAAGCACCATAGTGTCAGCTATGAAGGAGGGTAAGTGTGAAAGATGTAGAAAAGAAAGTTACAAGAAATAATTTAACTCGATAGCAGGGTGCTAGAAACAGGTGTTGGAGAGCCAAGGATGAAGATGGGCAGAAAGGCAGGTTAGCAACATTCAAGGTCAATGATTTTTTTGAGAAATTCAGGGGCTGTGCTCTGTTACTCAGATGGGTACTAACCCTTGGGGTTCACTTTTAGATTTCTGATTGATTAAACCCTTGTGGGCTTTGCTTTTTGCCTGTTCCCCTGCCCAGAGTATCCACTGGGCAGGGGGGAAGAAGAGAAATCTCTCCAGAAAGAGATCCTCATTTGGGGCCTTCAGCTAATTCCAGTGCTGACTCTGTTGGTTTTAACTGTCAGAGCCAAGAGTAATATACTGTGGAGTTCAGGGCTTTTTAGGTTTTTTTCAATTTTTTTCTGAAATTCTGAGGATATTTCATCAGATATTTTTAAACTCACTGCTGTTTGGAAAAATATGGAGTTAGCCATAGAGTCACTGATAGAGAAGTATGATAAATACCTGGAGAGGACTGCTGCATTAGTTGATGTTTAGAAAGTTAAGTCTGCAGCTGTAGTCTAGAACACTTTAAAAGTGATTTGTTGAATGTTGTTATAAATCACCAGTAATTGCAAAAGAATGCACTTTGTTTTTCCCAAACAAATTAATTTTTCAATGCGAAAAATACTGCTAGCAAAATAATTAAAAATTGAAGCTTCTCATAACCTATAAACTGCATTAATTTTTGCCTTCTGAGAGCCTGTAGGGCACGATTCTATTCTTAGTTTGTACACAAAAGATAGAGAATGTGCATTGTCTTCCCTGAACTTTCACAAGCGATGTATCTTAGTCTTAATATTTAGCGAGCTGTTTAGGTACAGTGCTTGCAGTGCTCTTGCACAGCTTGAAGGGTTTCTGCAGAAACCTTGAGAAAGCATTGCTCCCTCCTCTCAGTAAATCATAATCATTTTAAAAAATCCAGAGTAAATGTCACATGACTAGTATGTGTTTTTGCATTTCTAGGCATTGAAATGTTGTATTTGAGTAATAGGGGAAGACTCTCATGGTGCAGGAGAAAGCATTTAAAATAGTTCACTCCCTCTATAAAAATTGCTAGTTCATTGTTGCAAAGATTATGTATAAAATGTCAGTGCTTTTTTAAATTTCCTCTTAAGAATGCTAGTCAAATATATTTCCAAATTCTGATACGAATCAAATCAGTAACACCTTCTACTGAGATATTGGCAACAGAGAACAATAGTCCTGGACTGCTCATCATCTTTCAGCAGTAGTTTTGGGGTGATAAGGATGGTGGTGGGTTTTTTTGTTTGTTTTTTTTTTCCTTTTCCCTCCCCTAACCAGAGAATATGGTTGATTTCTAAGGTGAATCTGAATCCATTGTAGGAGTAGGTGATTACAAACACGTTTCAAGTGTGACAGAAGTGTCAGAACAGTAATTGCAGCAGCTGTTGGGAGTTGGCCTCTGCCTTTTTGCTAGATCCCTACTTTGTGCTGTGGCTGCAGGAGGAATGAATGCTTGCTTCCCATGACTGCATATTTATCTTACTGGCAGCTGGTAATTCCTCTGGAGTCCTGCCTCCAAGTGTTTTCCTTCCAGAATACAGCTTGTTTCTGCTCTTCTGAAGTAAAGAGTACTAGAGAAAAGGGCGGATAGCAATTGTTACATTGCCTTCAGTCAGTCGATTCAGTGAAGATACAATTTGCAATTCCATTTTTCATTGTAAATGAATATTGAGAAAGTCTGCAGTAAATAAGTTGTAGCGGGTTACTTGGTAATTTTAATTCTGGGTGGTTAAAATGCTCATAGCAAAAGTTTGAAGTGGCAAGCGATATTGTAGAACTACAGATTTAAGACCACAGGGTCTGCAACTTTGCTGAAAGATGACCTCTTACAGAAGTTAGGGAAGTTGAATGTTGCTGTAACAAATCTCTTTACTCTGAGGCATTTTGAAATCTTTTTGCAATACTAAGTGGAAGTTCTGAAATATGTAGAATGATACTCCTTTACTCCTGAGCTCTTCAAGCAACAGTAAATGATCAACTTGACTGCAGTGTAGATCTAAAGTGCAACTAAAATACATTTGGGTAGATCTGGCCGACAGTAGCAGTGAAGGCTATGATAGTGTGGGTGGGGGGTTTGTTTGTTTCAAGCCAGACTGTACAAAACTACTGGGATCTTCTCTCTCTCTCTCCCCTATGTATGCAGATACAAACTGGGATGCCAGCCTGTCTGTAGTAGTTTTTGCTAGCTGCTTTTACGCATCCTGTAGGTTTCTAAATTCTCTGGTTACAAGGATCGCAACAATGTAAGGGTGAGTGCATGGATAAATGCAAAGATTTTGCAGCTGTGCTGCTGCTGTCCTGATACTTCTCTCCTATTGGGTCTGTGTGAGTGTCAAAGGAAGGGCTTAGAGGTTTAATTTTAAAAGAAGGATGTATTGCTAAGTATGGTCTTCACAATACCTCAGAAGCTGTTGTCAAATGGTAGCTTCAATTATAGCTTAACATTCCTAGCCCAGTTTCTCAGACAAACAAATCTTCCATCCTACTCTTGCCTTCCCAGTATTTCTTGAGCAACATTTACACACAGGCAGAATGCAAAGATACTTAGTGTCTACTAATTCTGTGAAAACTAGCAACTGTTTTAAGACCCAAGCTAGCGTTTGGTAGTTGTCAGTACATGTGTAAAGATCCTACAGTATTAATCTGAGTTGTGTTCAAAATGCAAAGATACTTAGTGTGTACTAATTCTGTGAAAACTAGCAACTGTTTGGAGACCCAAGCTAGCGTTCGGTAGTTGTCAGTACATGTGTAACTTGGAAAGATCCTACAGTATTAATCTGAGTTGTGTTCAATCCGGGAGCTGGGGGGAAGTGGGACTGCTATGCAAGATTATGGGAGGTGGAATGTGAGGTCTCAGGAGGATGGAAAGGACCAGGGTACTTGTATTACTGTGGTAAACATCATGGGATAATGAAATTTTGTTTTCCATTTGCAACTTTTATCTGTTCACAAAAGAATCTTTTTCTCCATATGAGCAGTAAATGAAAAGGGATGTCTCTAATGTATATGTATATGCACGCATGGTTTTTTGTTGCATTCAACTTCAGTATATAGCTCCAAATATGTATTTTTTTAGATAAGCAGTTTCCAAAGATCTCTGTTATTGAAGTAATTGGTATCTACAAGACTTGCTATGTTTGCACACTCGAGAAGGGTTTTAGGTGGTCATAATATAGGCTGAGTTTTTCTATAAATTTAAAATGTCTGTAGATTGGACATTCCAAGTCTTTCAATAATTTCTATTCCAAGTTTTTCGCAATTTCTATGCATGAGTTTTTCCTGGTACCATGTTTTGTTATGTGCCTGAATTTTTCTTTTTCAGAGATTGGAATGGGCCTAACAGGCTTTGGAGTGTTTTTCCTTTTCTTTGGAATGATACTCTTCTTTGACAAAGCTCTTCTGGCTATTGGAAATGTAAGTGTCTGCTGTTCAGTCTTAGCTTCTGCACTGCTTAGAATTAAGTATATGATACATTAAACTAAATATAGAACAATAGGTTATCAGTTTGAAACTGGATCACAAAAAATACTGTGGCAATTTGGTATAAAGGAAGAGTTATGCTCAGTGATACGAGTGAGTCATTTTTCCTGATTAAAGTTAGAGCAGCTCACATCAATCTAAATAGCATATCCCCAGGTCAGGCCTGCGGTATGTTGGTCAGACAAGAAGCTTGTTCAACAGTTGTTATGCTGCTGCAAATAAGATTTTTAGATTGGCTGTCATTACTAATGCTTTCTTTTTTGTGATCTTTTAAGATAACTGTCAAATTTAAGTATCTATTTGGGTAAGAGTAGTGAAGTGTTCTGTACACGCTAGCAAATGTAGCTTTGGTGTGCTTTGAAGAAGCAAAGAATTATGAATTGCTGACAATCTGGGTTTAGAAGAGCCAATCGTCCTTTATAGTAGAGAGATTTAATATCTTCAGTTTTTACCAAATCAAAATTTTTCACTTAAAGCTGGATAGAAGATAAATCCTAGTTCTGGTACACAAAGTTCCCAATCCAAAGCAAATATAAAATGACAGGGTGTTTTGTGAATGTGATAATCTCTGTGCCTCTGCTGTTCTCAGCTTCGCCAGCCAGCCAAGAGCACAGCCTGGTAAAAGGTTTGCATCCTCTTTTGCTGATGCCTAAAAGTCTTGTGGTCAAAACTGATCGGTTTCATTCTGTGGCAGCAGAGTCAAATACTGAGATTCACTGATGGGAAAATGAGGAGAGCATAGGCAGGAAGAGACAATGACAGGCTATATGCTAACCAAAGGTAATGCAAGAAAAGGTACTGTATCCTTACAGAATGTTGTTTGGTTGTTTGGGGTTTTTTAAGTGATATCAGAAAGGGGGAAAAGGTGGTAAGGAAGTGGTTTATTAAATAACATACAAAACTTAAATTTCATCTATAATCTTAAGTAAAATCCCCCTTTCAGCAAAAATGTTGCCCAGATGTATGCTTACAAGCTGAAACAGTTACAAATCCTGTTGCTAAAGGACACTAAAAGTAGTTCTAAATAGTTGGGACTGATGATAGCATTCAGTCTATACTGGAACTAATAAACGGTAGAAAGCCTATACACAGTAAAAAAAAATAAACAACGAAGAGAACTGATAATGCTCTTCAGCTGTTTTCCTTTTTTGGCTTTGTACTGTTCAGTAGCTCAGTATGAGCTATTGAAGATGTCCATGGTACAGAACAGAGGTGCTTTTGTAATACATCTGATCTCGGTTTTTGGGAACCTTTGCTGTCAGTGGTACTAAGCTTCAGCACTGCTTGTGGATAATGACTGTACTTATGTTACAGGACAGATAACTCTTTTCACCAGGTCTTTTGACATGATTGTGTTCCTCAGAGACCACAAAGGTAGACTCTTTACCTTTTAAGGAGCTGAAAGAAGAGTTCTGAATGCTAGCTACAAATGCTTTAAGATGGACTTGACAAAAGAAAACCACTAGTAAATTTCTTCTCACCACCTATCTTTTGGTAGTAAAAGATGTTGTGCAAGAAATGCAGTCTAATGCTGTAGAATATATATCTTTACATCCTGTTTTCTTCTTTGGTTTTTTTTGTCTTTTCTAGGTTTTATTTGTGGCTGGCTTGTCTTTTGTTATTGGTTTAGAAAGAACATTTAGATTCTTCTTTCAAAAACACAAAATGAAAGCAACGGGCTTTTTCCTGGGTGGTGTGCTCATAGTTCTCATTGGTTGGCCTTTAATAGGAATGATCCTTGAAATTTATGGGTTCTTCCTATTATTCAGGTAAGACTTGTTTCAAAATACTTTTCTGTATTGGTGTATCTAGGAATAAATGTATTTGTTTAGTGTTGCTGCATTACAGCTGACAAAGCAGCGTCCTTCAAATGTTACTTTTTGATAGATTTTATATAAAGTTCTTGATTTACACTGGCAAGAGGTAGAAAGCTGGTAAGTATTTTTCCAAGACTCTAATCTGCTAACATTTGAGGTATATACCAAACTGACTTGGTTAATATTGTTTATGTCTAATTAACCTAATTATAAAGCTTCAAAATATCTGGGAGCCCACATTTTTAGTAGTACAAATTTTTGGTTTTTTTTACTATTTCCTCATTAAAAAAAAAGGCAGCTTAGATGCTTAGTATTTTTTTTTTTGGTGGGGAGTTTGTTCTTTTCTTTATCAAATAGAGCAAAATACTTGGTTACAAACATCCTAGGTTTGTTATCTTACCATTTCATTACTATGGTAGCCCGGTCAAAAGATGTTTTCTGTCATACTTCATTACTCTTGCGCCCTAGGGTAGTCAGAACTGGTGGATTTGGTTAACATTATCTTGACTGAGTTAAGGAAAGGTGACACTTCTTAATTTTTTGAACAGCAATCTTGATACATGTTATAGCTTTCACAATGTGCCGTTCAACTTCTTCATAAATGCAATTGTAGTGGTGAAAAAATTTGACTTGTTACAACCTATATATCTATATTTTTTTCTTTGAGGTTTGTTGAAGTTCCATGCTTCAGTATAGAACAAAGTACAAAATATGCTAATAAAGGAGAGGCTTTTAGTTGTTCTTGGACTTCTGTTTAGGCGAAGGCTGTTCCACTAATGGTTATTAATCTAATAACAGACGTCTAAAATATTTTCCAAGTGTTCAGCTGCTGGCTAAATAATACAGTTCCTGTTAATCAAAACCAAACCACTGTTCTCATGGTGCTCTTTTCCCACTCAATAGAATTGTTTGTTAATCTTGTATTTAGTTTGGATAAAATGTTTAAATATTTTAGGGAAGAAAAAATCTTAACTTGGCTTTTAATATACGCTTCTTATTGTTCTACTCTGTATTATTCTAAACTCTATCACTGCAAGTGTTTTGAAAATCACTGTATTTTACTGAACACATTGTCACTTCTTCCATGTAGCACACTGATTAAATCAGCCAGTACAAAGTAGAGTGTGTTTCCAACCAAACGCCCCTCCTGTTAAAAGATTTCAAAAGAATTATAAATTACCATGTCTAAGCAGGTGTGGTTATGGTTTATCTATTGGTGCTAGCCAGGGGCTAGCAGGCTAAAATAATGTTGAAGAGATATAGGAGGTCAGTAGCTTTCCCTAGGTCACTAGGAATATCCCTTAGCCAGAAGAGCATCAACAAGGGATAGATAATTCCAGGTGTGAATGTTTACATGATCTGTTTCAATTTAAAACATTTCTAGACCATATTTTCTAATGCTTAATCCTTCTTAGATGCTAAATACCTTGCTACAATGTTAGCTGGTTACTACCTCAAACAAAGCTTTTTGTTTTGCCTCAGTCTTAATTTCAACCATTATCTTTTTTGGCGACTTGCTCCTTTCTGAAGAAGTTAAAAATGGAGCATTTCCTCAAGCATCATTTTATAGGATTCCTCAGGATCCTGCTGTTTGGATTCATAACAGAAAACTTTCCTGGTTATCACTGGTCTCTGAAGTACATAATTTTCTTAGGCCCAAGGAATACCAGATCAGTTTATGCACCTTTGGATTTGTTAGGGCGGCATGTTGTGAGGATGGGCATTTCAGTGTATCCTAATGGTTCTAGTCATGTAGATTACTGGGGCTTCTATATGGAAAACATTTATATTTATCAAGAGCCATTTAGCAGTTCCATAACTTTACGTCAACTCAGACTAAGATAGTACAAATATAAACCACTGTATTGTACTTTTTTCAGTCTCTTGATTTTCAGACCACTAAACCAGTTCCATTAGGTGTTCAGATCTTTCTAGAATCTTTACTCACGGGTTGTTGTCTTGTGTATTCTAGACTACTTTTACACAGTCACCTTTCATATGCTCTAGCAGTAATTGCAGAGCCCCTGTTGTCCACAAAGTAATGGTTGGGTACTGGTGACCAAGAACACTTAAACAAAAGACAGGATTGTAAAGATGATTTTTTTTTTTTTTTTTTAAGATTCATCTGACTGAAGTGAGAGACATGTGCTGCTATTATTATTATTTTACTCTGGTTTAGATCTAGAATTTCTTTCCTGTAACATGCTGTTGTAAGTTTCCCATCAGAGGTTTAGTCTTTTGCCATACTTTCACATGCTCAGATTGCATTCCCTGGAGAAGGCTGTTATGGGACAGGATCTGTTGCTGTATTCTAAGCTGCTTTTGGAGCCTTGTTCAGATTACAAGCATCCAAAGTTACAGTTAACAATATTATCCTGCCTCTACTGTCTATTCCTTATTCTTGGCTACATCAATTGTTTTAATCTATTACAAGTGGTTTGTGTGCCCTGCATCACAATTTACTGGACCACTGAAGTGATGCAGTCTTCAAAAAAAAGAACAACTCCAGGAAAAACTTGCTATCATCCTGCAGATAGTTCTTACCAGCGTAGCAAAGAGGATGATGTCTTGCGAGACTTCACTGTAGCTGAGGTTTCATTACTTGTTAACCCTTATTCTATGCAGGGAATGTATAGCTCAACACAAGATAATCCAGTACGTTGCCACCACCAGCTGAATTGCTGCAGGTGACTGCAAACAGCTGAGATATTGCTGTAGAAAATGTGTTTTCCTGCTGCAGAGATGAAGTGCAGAGGGCTACACCATAGCAGTTATGCTAGGCAACATCCCCTGGCTCATGATTCAAATCCCTGACTTTACATGAAGTTGTCAAATAAGTGAATACACAACTCTACCATGCTTAATTTTCTTCAGGTAATGTTAAGCATACCATATATAGGGGATTACTCAGAATTCACTTCAGTTTTTCTTACATCAGGTATTGCAAGAATATATTTTCTATAACGTAAAAAGAAATTGTCTCGAAATATGTGTGGTTACTTTAAGAAATTAGTTGGGAGCAACAGTTCTGTTGACCAAGTTGTGTATTCTTTAGTTACTTTTTGAAGAGCTGACTGAGGGTTGCCAGCTATGAAGAAAATTAAGTTCATCTAAAAATAAGGTCTTTCTTTCCTGGTTTTCTTCTTTCACTGCTGAATGTATGTTGATATATTTGGTAAAATTAATGTGCCGCTAACAACCAACAAGATTTATATGATTTTGGTTTAAAAAATGCCTCCTATTTCATTTTATAGCAATATGAGAAGAGCTTAATCATAAAAACTAATAAAATCTTCTGATTTCTTACCTAAAGGGGGTTCTTTCCTGTGGTGGTTGGCTTTATTAGAAGAGTTCCAGTTCTTGGCTATCTCTTGAATTTACCTGGTATAAGCTCGGTAAGTGTTTGGTACTTCATGTAAAATTTGAAGCTTGTACTTTTTGGTGTGGTTTTTTTTTTTTTTTTTATTTTTTTTTTTATTCCATTGTTGTAGCCATAGTAGATATGGAAATAAAGCAAATGTAACTTTAGGGCAGTGACTTCAAGTGTAGTCCTGTATGGTCCTTGCACCATACAGATCCCCTTTGTTCCCAGTGAGAGACTTGCAGATGTAAAAGGAGCAAAAGGACACCTTTGCAGAAGCTGCCCCTGCTTACATGTTGTGAAGTGGGAAGAGCTCTGGTTGTGACTCAGAATGCTGGGGTTCTGCTTCCTGCTTCACTGTTGGCCCTAGGTGACTAGATAGGTGAATCGTGCCACTGCTCTGCGCCCCTTCTCCTGTCTGTATGAGGAGGAGGGTGCTGTTCTTCTTTGTGTAGTATTTGGCTACATCTATGAAAAGCGGCCTGTAAAAGCAAACAGTTTAGCTCAATGTGAAGTTGCAGCTTCTATGGCGAATCCAGAAACTCTTGTGATGCATAATCATTCATCAGATATATTTATTAAGGCCCACTGCATCAGACTACATCTTCCTGTTTACTAAGATTTGTATTTTTTCACAGTTTTTCTTAACCAAATAGCCAGGGATTTGAAAACATTTAAGAGGTGCCAGAAAGATGGAAATCTAGGGTATTTCAGTCAACTACTTTTACTGTGCTAATTTCTGTATGTACTTTAACACAAATGTTTTTAACCCTAGTTTTGAAAGCAACAGTTTTAATAGCTACTACTAAAAAATTAATGGGGATATAACTTAGATGTATATAGTCTGGGTTTTTTTTAAAAATAGCATTCTAGATAATCTGTTCCAATCTTACAGTTAGGCCAAGTTCTGGCTCATAATTCATGATCAATTGAATGTTTCATTTGTCAATTGATCTTACTTAGCCACATTTAATTTGATCATAATGGGGTTAAATCTTGTTTTAAAAAGATAATTGTTAATGTTTTATTCAAAGCCTACGTAGGCTCAGAAGAGAATCCACAGTAATGGTCAGTTGAAATATCTTACTTGGTCTACTAATGCATGTGTGGCTGATACTGTATTGTTTTGTTTTAATCATTAAGCTAGCAGTGTTATCTGCATTCTTCTATTTCCTTTTTCATTCTGTTGCATCTTCATGTTGCACTGTTAATGTCTATATGAGAAAAACATGTCATGCAGAAACACAGTTGCAATGTAAGATTTTTTTAATTTTCACAAACTTAAATCATGAGACCTTGGTGAGTACTATTTGACTCTCATTTTCAGTCGCATACTAACTGTGCAAGTAGCAAGTGATATTTGAGAGTAACTTCACTGTACATAAATGTCATGCAGCTTAAAACCTTTTTGTCTCCTTTTCTACAGCTTGTAGATAAAGTTGGAGAAAGCAACAACATGGTATAATGGCAAGAGGGCAGAAGACTGATTCTAAACTTATTGTATTATTTATAAAATCCTTTTGAAGAATACTCAGCACAAAGATTAAGTTGTGTACAAAGGAAAAGCTTGTTACATTCTTTACATAACAGTTTAATTTAAAATGTATAGTCAACAATATACATTAGAAAAGAAGCTCAGCAAGTATGCTTCTAGGAAAGTAACTCCAGAGTTCAGGAAGTAAACTGAAGAGGTGGAAGTCATGGAATAACCCGTGTTACAGTTGTTCAAGACTACTTTCGCTGGGTTTGGAAAACATGCTAGAGGCAATGAACCCATGTTGAATTAATGGAGCCTGTACTTTACCTCCTTATTTTGAAGGTGCAGTAAACTGGCATACATTTTTAAGGGTGACCCAAACTTAAACAGCCCTCTGCTTGCTATCCTCAGAGTGCAAAAAAACCCAGAAAACTTTTTGTGTAATGAGATGCGTCTTTGCATGAAGGTTAAGATGACTGTTCATCTTTAAGTGTATTATGGGAAAAAAAAGGAAACCCTACACGGTTCTGTTGTAAACATTTTTGTAAATACATGGCTGAAATAAAACATTGTTATCTTAATGTTTCAAAGCCAAATGTAAGTTGATTGTATTTGCCTTCTGTTTCGGAACATGCAAAAGGTCAATCTTTAATAACTTCAGTCTCAACTGTTGGTTCTGAACATGTAGAGTTCAACAGGGAACTCTGGAAACTGACTTGCACTCCTTCTGGTTTGTTCTCCTTCAGTCGTGTTACATGTGCATCTGGATGAGAATGTAGCCCCCTTGTCACTAACATGAAAACTTTGTGAAATATGCTTAGTTCACAGAAAAATGCATTTGGTTAAGGTGCTGACATGAACCCTGTGAAATGTATCTTACCAAACTTAAACCTTTGTTTTTAAATAGTTTGAAGCTAAGGTTTCTTTGTTTACTCTGGAACTACAAATTGACTTTTATTTTTTACAGTAATAAAATGAAAACTTAAAATTCTGTGTATGTGAGTCTTTGGGGAGAAAATTTTGCTAATGGGGCTAACTAAAGATCAAGTGCCAATCTCCATATGTTTTGTAACTTGTTGCTTGGGTTATCTTCAAATAACTTAAAACTTCTATCAGTCACAGCAACAACTTTGCTGTTGTAGAGATTCTTGGCTAATCTGGAATAAATGTCCCCTATTAATGCAAGGGTCACACTTCTGCTTCTGTTGGAATGTTAAACCTTGTGCACTTAATAGTATCCTCACCTAACAAAACATGATCATTAAGTAAATTTTATTTGTGGAGGCTTTGGGAGTTTCTCCTGATTTTTAATTTTCTTTTCCCTTGAATGTAATCCTAAAAAAATTACCGAAATGCAATTGTAGTATTTCAAGTAGTTATGTAGTCTTAAAGGTCTAATGACTGTTTAGTGGTGTTTTTTCCTTTTTCTTTATTATGCAGTTAAAATTGGTATTTTTCCAAAATAACTTCTAAGAAGAATCATCATATACCAACCCTTTTGGAAGTTGCTACAAAGTTTATTTGTACAAGATGTGTTTTATTTTCATTACAACTGTAAATAGCCACAGTCTACTATTCCCAATGTTTAATTTGCTTTTTCTCAAACAGGCACAAAGTGATTCTATGAAAAAATGCTGTTATATGTAGAATGAATAGCATCTGCAAAGTCAGTGGTTTTAATTTATAAATGACAAAAAATGGCTATATTTGCCTGATGGCATGCATGTTGTAGTTTACAGACAGGACTACATACGACTTGCGGCTTCTACCTCAAGAGATGAACCAATTTTAACTGCTCCTGTAGATCTGTTGTGTGTTAAAATGCCTGGAGAATAACACTACAGCAGTTTAGCAAACTCATCTTGTTTGTTTTGGTAGAGCACTGGTCTGTACTGTGGGAGTCAAATACTGTTTAAAGCAGACCATGTTCATCATCAGACATTAGGAGTCAGCTACCTGAAGATTTTTTTTTTTCTTGTCTTTTGAAAAGTAATGTGATGGAAAAGGTGGATTGCACCATGTGACTATGGAGCTCTGACTGAAAGCAAATTGCTCGGTAAGCTGAAGTACCTTCAACAAGAAATCCAATGATACCTTTCAGAGGCAATGAATGTGTTGCAGTGTATGGTCTTTCAGCCCTCTGAAGTGCCGGGATGCAGTTCATCTTGCTTTTATTTAATTTGTTGTTTTAAATCAAAAGTCAGTTTTTGTCAGATGTGAACTGTTGTGAAAAGCGTCTGAGGGAACAAAATTATATGTTGAATTTAGCATAGTCTTTATCCCTCAAGGTAATGTTGTCTTTGAGACAGTTTTGCCAAGATAAATGTGGGTGGCAGCAAAGGTCAAAATGACTTTTAGCCTTAAAGTGTTTCTGTCGTTGTAAAAATATCTTTAACAGAAACATGCTTGGAACATTTCCCCTTTTAAATGTAACTTATAATTGCTGCTCTAAAAATTGTAAGGATGGATCTTACTCTGAGCAAATGAGTACTGTAAATATCCTTGTCATACCTTGAATAAATGGGTACATTTTTCTATAATTTGTCTCTGTGTCTCTTTACGTGCACATTTTAAGAAAGCATTTTGACAAGTTTTCCTTTCCAAAGGTCAGGGAGTGCATGCTGTTACTGCTGGGCTATCTTATACTGTTGTGACTTTGATAGTAAATAGTGTGTCTGATTAATCTTAAATGGAAAGGTTTCCTCTTTTTCTTACAATAAACCTTTTACATAAACATCCCCCTAGTTACTCAGGTTCCAGTTTCAAACACAAAAAAATGTGGAAATTAGTTACATGGGTAATAGTTTCTTTGTTAAACTACCTCCTTTCCTTTATGTGAAGGAAATAACTGCAGAACTTCAGGAGAAAAAGGGTACACGTCTAGAACTTAGAGCAGGTTCTAGGCCCTGTGCTTTCAGTTTAGTTCACAGATACGAGCATGAGTTCTCGGTTTCCTAGGGAGTGGCCTGACAAAGCCGGTTCACTATTCTGGGGTGCGCTGCAAGCTTGCAGCCCACGGCTGAGGATTTTCACAGAGGGAGTAGGAATAGCAAAACCAGGGATTTTGTTTGGTAAGATGTTGTGTTGGTGCTAGTTAATGCCTTAAAAGTTTACTTTGACTGAAGTTCCAGCCTCTGCTTAACTTACTGAAGCTGGTTCTACCCTGATGATTCCAAAGAGTTATCACTCCCTAATTTAAAACAAAAAAGTCCCAGTTACATACAGCTGTATTTGTTAAAACTGTGACAGGTATAATCTGTATGTAGCTCATGGCCAGTTACTTTCTGTGAACAGGTGCCATTTATTAACCAGGAATATTTTGTTATTGCTTGCAATATGGTACCACTGTAATTAGCATCTGCGTCAAAAACCTTGTAAAGAAAAGTATGTTGTCTCTGCAGTAGACGTCAAAGGCAAGGTTTTATTGGATTACTTTAAAATTGTTTTGTTGACAGATTTCAAGGTACAGACTCATCTGTTGCTTTTCTGGTTCACTTGATTTATCAGGCTGGAAAGTAGAGTCCACCTCCCGAAACCAAACATAGCATGTCTGTCTCCCTGCTGTCTCTTCAGATGTTGCTGCCAGCCCTTGGACTCTGGTTGCTACTTCTCTGGCTGCCAGGTCCTGGCTGGCTTTGGCTGTTAACTTCTACCCTTTGGGTTCCCATTACCAGCTATGACAGCACTAGTGTGCCATTGCCAGACTAACTTACCCAGCAGAATTTGGCTTTTGTGGCCCGCTTGTTCTAAGCTTTACCCCTCTAGTATTGGTCTTGGCATATTAAAGCATCTTTCAGAAGACTTGGATCTCATGCTCAGTTCAACATAGAGATCCTGCATCTGCTGTAATTCCTTGCCAATCCTAATTTCAGCACAATAATTATATGCTAAAGCATCCTCCTCAAATACGTAACAATTTACAGAAAAATGACAGGACTGATGTGCAGTGGATTTGGTGTGGAATTCATTATCTTGAACCAAGTGTTACGACTGATAATTTGCTGTCAAGGTCTATTTATAGAAATCCATTTGAGTGTGTGTTACCAGTCATTAATGTGTCTACCTGTTGAAGTAGTGCCTGTCTGGAGGTATACTTGCTGAAAAGCACGTGTGTTCCTGTATACTTTCTAACATTTCTCATTGAAGCAGTAGTGCCACTTTGCTGAGGAATGTAATGGATCTCCTATAAGAATACATCCGTTTGAAGTATCTTATGGTGTGTGATGCCGAAAGCTCATAAAAGCACTGGGCTCCTAGCTGACTCACCAGATGCGGGAATTTATCCTCTGAGAGGGCAAGAGCATTGGACCTGATGTTTGGCACCGGGCAATAGATCTCATGGAGACCCAGGAGCTGGGGTGTTTATAACCGCGAACT